GAAAATAGAATTTATAATAGAATTTGTCTCGATTTTTATTTATAAATAGAAACACGATTGTGATATTATTGTAATTTGCGAAAATGGAATTTTGATATAATTCGTCTCGATTTTTATTTGGATAGAAACGTGGTTGTGATATTATTACACTTGGAGAAAATAGAATTTTTAATAGAATTTGTCTCGATTTTTATTTATGAATAGAAAGAGGATTGTGATATTATTGCAATTGGCGAAAATGGAATTTTTGATAGAATTCGACTCGATTTTTATTTATGAATAGAAAGAGGATTGTGATATTATTGCAATTGGCGAAAATGGAATTTTTGATAGAATTCGACTCGATTTTTATTTATGAATAGAAACACGATTGTGATATTATTGTAATTGGTAAAAATAGAATTTTAACCCTCTGCACTCGAAAGGCACCTCTCAGTTGCCATTTAATCGGATTCTAAAGATGAATGTTAATTAATATATCAAATTTACAATTACTCAATCATGCGTGGAATATCGAAGTAAAATAATTCTACGTCCTAAATTGCATGCGATTTCTTTTAATTACCGTTTTAAAAATGTCGTCAACCTTATGGCAGAAAGTATCCAAATTGCTATTTTCCTGCCGAGTGCAAAGGATTAATATAATTCGTCTCGATTTTTATTTGTATAGAAACGTGATTGTGATAAATAGAATAATTTATATTTCTAATTTCTTGATATAGAACAAAATAGTCTTTTTATCTTCTTAGATACGTGAATCAAAATTAAAATTAGGGATAGTGTTTTCACCCAATTTTTAATTTTGGTATATCCATATAAAGTTCTAAAATCGTTAATTTGTTATTAAATTTTTGTTATAACGCGTTTGGCTATCTATTTTTGCTGTGCTATTTCAATTAATATATTTTGTATATATTTATATCACGTTTATAGATGTTTAATATTATATTTAATATAATGTTTAATATTATATTTGATATATTTTATACCGTGTTATATTATTAGGTTGTCCAATGAAACATGTGCTTTCTCTTCTCTCTATAAAGCAGTGTTCCTGACCTATTCAATAATATATAATCACGTGCCAATTAAAATTCGCAGCTGCTCGCGAGATGGCCAAAAATTATAGGCCGAAATGATTAATACATTATTCAATAATCCTTCTTTTGTTTATAAAAAATATCATTACTTTATGCGAGAAGTACCAAGATTAGCGGTTAGCAAGCTCAATGGATACTATACTTATACCTACTATGCATATTTACCATATTTAATTACACATTCCAGGTCGGTAATTCTAACCTCCAATCTCAAGACTTAACAAAATTCCAGCTGAACAACATCTTGCTATTAAATTCAACGGAACAACGATCCAGAAGCAATTATCGACTCCATTTTATACCAAAAATACCAGGATTGCTTATTAAACAACTCAATAGATACTATACGTAAACACGTACTATATATATTGATTGTATTTAATTATGCATTTCAAATTCATAATTCTAACCTCAAATTTCGAGACTTAAAATTCTATTTCGAAAATCTTACTATTAAATTCAACTCAACAACGATCTAGAAGCAATTATCGACTCCATTTTATACCAAAAATACCAGGATTGCTTATTAAACAACTCAATAGATACTATACGTAAACACGTACTATATATATTGACCGTATTTAATTATGCATTTCAAATTCATAATTCTAACTTCAAATTTCGAGACTTAAAATTCTATTTCGAAAATCTTCTTACTATTAAATTCAACTCAACAACGATCCAGAAGCAATTATGACTCCAGTTTATACTAAAAACACCGAGATTGCTTGTTAGGCAACCCAATAGGTACTATGCTTACACATATGCTATATATATTCGCCATATTTAATTACACATTCTAGGTCGGTGATTCTAACCTCCAATTTCATGACGTAACAAAATTCTACTCGAAGAACCTTCTCCTAAATAAATTCAACAGAACAACGACCCAGGAGCAATTATCGACGCCATTTTATACTAAAAATGCCAAAATTAGCCAATCCAATAGATACTACACTTATACCTAGTGTACACATTCGCCATATTTAATCGTTTTCCTTCGAGGACGGTAATTCTAACCTCGAACTTCAAGATTTAGAATTGAGATGATTCTAACCTCAAACCTCAAGATTTAAAATTGAAGTTTGAGGTTAGAATTACCGTCCTCGAAGAAAAACGATTAAATATGGAGAATGTGTACACTAGGTATAAGTGTAGTATCTACTGGATTGGCTGATTTTGGCATTTTTAGTATAAATTTAGAATTGAGATGATTCTAACCTCAAACCTCAAGATTTAGAATTGAGATAAACCTAACCTCAAACCTCTAACCTCAAAATCAGAATTCTCAATAAAGAACCTCATTATTAAACACGATAAAACTCGGATTCTAACCTCTCTAAGCAAGATACCCCGGTAACATCTGCTCCAAGCGTACCTTCCACAGGTATCGAGCAGAGTTACGTCTGTTACGCGTTACAGGACCCCATAGCCCGTGGATGGAATTCGAGGCGAGTTGAAATAAAGGCGAAAACGCAGCGAAAACGCAGGGTAGGGCCGAAAGAAGTGTGCACTCTCGGTTTGGAGTCGAGGACGCGTGGGCCAGCAACGTGGTCGGAGCTGCTTTCTACGCGCGGGCGAGAAACGCTCGTTGCACACGCAGCCAGAGGATACGCGACGTGCTCGCAACGAATTTTACGCGTCGCTATCACCCACATACGCTTCGATATTATTGAATCCAGTAATTTATGCCCGCATTTGCATCCGGAACGTAACCGTCCGCTCGAAAGCCGCCGCCGCCAGCTCCGTCACGATTTTTCCTCTGGTCGCGTCGCCGTATGTCATACCGTGTCGAATCCTGTCACGATCGCGGAGATACGGGAAAACGATGAGAGTCGACCGATTTTCAACGCCTCTCAATAACCATCTAGGTAGGAGACTGCGACACCAACCGGTAGACGTTATTCACACTCGCGTGTGCAACCTGCGGTCACGATTGATACCGGAAAATCTATAAATCCACGATCGAGACCAGAAAATCGTCAGTGATACCGATAAATCGGATTGGACGTGACATTGACGAAAAACGGGAGGAGAAAAGCAGCGTGTGGCCCGGCGAAATGGCAAGGGCCTGCCAGAGGAGGAGGAACGGCATGACAATGGGCTGGCGTTCGAGTTTGACGAAATAATTGAATGTTGTCAAGCCAATAATTGAATGTTCCTTAAACGAGCGCCGGGAACACTTATGTCCAGATAAATCAAGCCGTTCCCACGCACGAAAATTTGAAACGATCTTGCGCAAAGAACGCGACTATTCGGAGGCGAACCGTTTGCCTAGTAAATCATTTAGGTCCGCGGCACGGCCACCACGTGGGCGTGTTTCACGAGAATATACCTGGAATTTTTGTTTACGGGAATTTGCAGGCTGCTAATGGCATCGCGACGCCTACGAATTCGAGGCTAGGCAACCTGTAGCGTTTGCGTGCTACCGCGTAAGGCGAGGCTGCAAAGAACGGCTACCCACCAGTTTACTCCTACGAGAAAGAGAGAAGGAACCCGGCCGGCGATGGGACCGACTCGATAATCTCCTCCAATTTTCCAAACCACGACGTTTACTACTCCAGCAACTCTCGAAACACCCGCCGTTTCGTAAATCTCAATCCTCGACGCTGCTTTCCATTTTCAAGCACTCGTCGACAGCCCTAAGTCAAGGCAACGAGTATCCCAGAGGAGTTACAGATAGAGGTTCAGGAAAAATAGAGCTCCAAATGACGATTTTTCTGTTCTTAATGGTGCATAAAATAACGAGATTAGATTGGTCTAGAAGAAGGGTAGGCTTCCAAAATTGTGAACCCGTTGTTTTGCAAACTGGCGTGCAACATAACTCGAGATGCACACTATTCAGTTCATCAACGGCTGAACTAATTTCATTTATGATATTTATTATTCTACAATAACTACGTTTACTGCATAGTGAAATTCAAAGTTTAATACAGGAACCATTCCTTTGTCCTCAATTTCGCATTCTTTAAGTAGGCAAAATAGTGATAGACCTATCAAAGGTGCATATCCAGGAATAGTGTCTATTATTTCATTGAAAGTCGCTAGAATCGAACTAAAAAGGAATATTTGTATCTTAAAATATTAAAGAACATACGTTCAAGATCTAACGTGATAGAATATTGCCAAATGTCACGTTTCACCCGATCATTTTACTCGAGTCCCTATCAATCTTCTAGATGCGTCGCGAAGTCGTGACGAGATTTCGATGTCTCTACCTAACCTAACCTCGAATGAATCTACTATTTATTTACTAGAACCTTTTCTACGGTGTCCCATGCTAATGCCAAGGTAGATGAAAGGGAGACACCATAGAGTGCGACGATTTCTCGAGAGAAAATGCCAATTTCTCAGAGCCTAGGACAGATGAGGAACGCGCGAGGCGTTCGCGGTTTAAACGGCAGCGAATCGATCG